TCCCTTCCCTTCCCACACCTTTCCTTCCCTCTCACCCCTTCCCTTCCCTTCCCTAGTTTTCCCTTCCCTTCTGCCTCACCCCTTCCTCTTTTCTCTCAATGCTCTCACTGTGTCCTCTCCTCCCCTCCGCTTCCACACGAGCCCACCCTCAACTTTCTTTATTCCCACAAAGACCTTCTGTTGGCTCAGCCTTCCTCTTACTCTGCTTCCACCCTGAGCTCTCCCCCCTCCGGGCCTCTCCTCCCACCCAACACGGAGTCATCACGGGTTCCACTGCCTGACCCCTTGAGACGGCGGGAAGACCCACGGGGACACACTGTACACACACATGCAAATTACTGGGAGCGTAGTTCTAGAGTCTGTTGATCTTACACATCCGTGGGGCACTAGCGTTCCACCTGCACCAGTCCTCGTTGCCCTCTGCCTCGCTTTCTTCCCTACTTGCCTCTAAACTTGATTTTTTCCCCCTTTCAATTTTATTTTATTTTGTTATCACTGAGCGAAACATACCCTCAGACAACAGTTTCTATCTGTACACCGTCAGGACATTGGTTACATTGTTTGAGTCCTGTAACCATTCCCACCCCCAGTTCTTCCTCGTTTATGAACATCAAGTGGCTGCTCCTCTGTTGTTAGCACTGTTGTTAGGTGCCACCCAGGTGGTTCCAACTCAGAGTGACCTTATGTACCACAGAGCGAAACACTGCCCGGTCCTGCGCCCTCCTCACGGTCCTTCTTAGGTTTGAGCCCCGTCGCGATAGCCACTGTGCCATCCATCTCCTCAAAGGCCTTCCTCGGTTTCCCTGCCCCTCTTTTCCTAAGCACCTGTCCCTGGTGGTTCCGATCGATCTTCCTCGTGGCTGTTGTCAGTTGGATCTCCTAGAGCTCCTTCTTAGAGGAGCAACACCTATAAGGCAGACCTTTTTATCTAATTAAGCTTTTGGTTTTGAGAAGGCTGCAGGGGGTAGTTTGGGTTCAAGGGTTAAAGAGGCTTCTCTGAGGGCAATAGGTGCAGAGGTCCATCCAGTGTGCCTGGCTGCAGGATGCCGCCGAGCATCCACAAGAATGTGAAATTCCCACATAAGCCTCCTTCTTCTTGTCTTTTTAAAAAAAATACTTTCATTGGGGGCTCTTAGATCTCATCACAATCCATACATTCATCTAATGTGTAAGCACATTTGCACATATGCCGCCATCATCATTTTCAAAACATTCTCTTCCCACTTGAGCCCCCGATATCAGTTCCCCGTGTCTGCCCCCTCCCTTCCAGGCCCACCCTCCCTCATGAACCCTTGAGAAGTTATAGATTATTTTGTCCATATCTTACATCATCCTGTGTCACCCCTCACCCACTTTCCCGTTATTCGTACCTCTGGGAAGGGGCTTTAGATTGATCCTTGTGATCACTTGTCTTTTTAAGTGAGGTCCTATAATCTCTTGTCGTTTTGTGATAGACTTAGTTTGCTCACATCATGTGGCCAGCTCCATCCATACAGTAGTATGCATCATGATGTCATTGTTCTGTACTGGCACCACTTTGGTTTGTCCTGTCATTTGTTAGATGGGCGGTTAGGGTGCTTCCACCTTTGGGCTATTGTGAGCAGTGCTACAAGGAGTGGACACGCTGGAGCAGGGAATTGCTGGGTCACACAGTGGTTTTGTTTTCTCCAGCGACTGTATCATTTTGTATTCTCGCCAGCAATGACTAAGGATTCAATATCCCCACATCCTTGCCAACAGTTGTTATTTTCCACTTTTAAAATGTATTTTTCCCCCCTTAAAGTTTATTATCTTAGTCATCTCTGTGAGCATGTCACGGCATCACACTGAGGTTTTGATGTTCGCCTCGATGATGGAGCCCTGGTGGCATAGTGGTTATGTGTGGGGCTGCTAACCACAAGGTCAGCAGTTCAAAACCACCAGCCATTGCTTAGGAGAAAGATGAGGCTTTCTACTCCCATAAAGAGTTGCAATTTCGGAACCTCATAGTTCTATCCTGACTTATTGGGTTGCTACGAGTTGGCATTGATTTAAAAGTTTTATTTTATTTTGGGATTTTGTTTTGTTTTGAGCTTCTTTTCAGGTGTTGGGTGGCTATTTGAATATCCCCTTTGGTGAAATGTCAGTTCAAGTTTTGTTGAATTATTTGTTTTTTTGTTGTTAACTTGTCAAAGTTACACACACACACACACACACACACACACACACACACACGGATAACCCTCCCAAAACGGATTTTTTCCCCAAAGCTATGTATTAAAAAATTTTTTTACAACCTCATTACCTTCAAAGTACTCTCCATTACACTTCATACATTTGTCAAATCTGCGATTCCGTCCTTGGAAACATTTTTCAAACTCATCTGTTTGGATGGCTGACAGCACCTCCCTTGTTTTTTCTTCACCTCTTCTACGTCCTCAAATCGTTGTCCATTCATGTCCCTCTTCATTTGTGGAAACAAAAAGAACTTGCACAGTCAGGTGTGTGGGGCAAGAGAGGCATGCTGTGTTTTGTCAAAAAGTGGCACACTGAGTTGGCTGTGTGAGCAGGTGCATTGTCGTGGTGGCGAAACCAGTCCCCCGTTTGCCACAAATCAGACTTTTTTTGGTCACACACTGTTACACAATCTTTTCAGAACCTCTAAATAGAAAGCTTGATTAACAGTCTGACCGGGTGGAACAAACTTCAAATGCACTACCTCCCCCCTCACATCAAAAAACAAATGAGCATCGGTTTTTATTGGGTACCCCTCATATATATCAGTTTTTAGATTCTTGTTGGGGGTAAATGTCTTCTGAAGATACACTCCCATTGGTAACTTATCTCGTTTGATTTTGGGTAAAGTCTTTTAAAATTCTACAAACTGTTTACATCCAACAGGTTTTGTGAGTTCCCTTTGGTTGATCTTGTCATTTGCTGTCCAACTTGATTTTTAAACGATCCTTTTATTTTATTGATTAAGCCGTCCTTTTCAATGGGCTCTTTAGGCTCCTTTTGAACCTGGCGGATGTGTAGCGTGCCTTGCACGAGCCTCTTGCAAGAAACCAAACTCGTATGTGCACGTGCTCACACATTCATTCTACACGTGTGTGTTGAGCTCTTACTATATACCACATTCTGTGCCAGGTCCTGCAGAGACCGAGCCTCCCCTCCAGGAGTGAAAGATGGGGGAGGGAGGAACCTTAAATAAATTGCCCTCAGAGATCATTCAGAAGGGAGGAAGCGGGGCATTTATGGGGACTCGGGGACTTGGGGACTCCTGCCCAGTTTCTGGAAAGCCTGTTGCTAGGCACCACGGAATTCGCTCCTCCTCACAGCGTCCTGGGCACACCACAATGAACAGTGGGTGCCAATGTCTGATCCCTTTGTTGCAATCCACCTGGCT